ACTGCTACCAACAGTGAACATAGATTCCAATTTTTAAACATCCTTAGCAACACGTGCTATTTTTCGGCTTTTTTGTTGTTGTTTTTTTTTCACATTCTAATGGATGTAAGGTCTTCTTTTATCCTGATTTTTATTTGCGTTTCTCTAATGATTTATGAAAATGAGCATTTTCATGTGTTTACTGGCCACTGTGTATCTTCTCGAGAAAAATTCTTTGTCCTTGTTGTGTTTGTGTGTGTGTGAGTGAGTGTGCTAGAAGCAAGCTCAGAGCCTTTCAAAGGGTACAACCACTAATAAAATTCTCAACTCACCTATGCCCTTTCAAACTGGGTATTTCTAATTTGCTGAGCTATAGTTTTTTTGGGGGGGCTATAGTTTTTATATACATGATTTGTTTATACAGTCTGAAGATGATTTTAATGTTAATCTTTTAACTGGATGCGAAATTAATTAGTGAACATGGTTTGGTAGGGTGTGGACTCAGCACAGGAGATCCTCAGGAATACAGGGCCATCCCTTGTCCAGGGCACCACAGCTGGGGACATTCCTGATCCCAAAGTCACCAAGGATAAACAACTTCTCAGCTACCATGTCTTCAAATTAACCTGCATTGAACTTAGTAAAGCCTCACTTCTTTGCAATGTGGATCTCTGGTGGCCAGGGAACTTGAACTTGGCTCACACAAGGTCTCAATCACATGTTCCTTATTCTGAAACTTGGTGAGGATGGACATGAAGACCTGACCAATGTGCCCTAAGGCAGCCTGCAGACACGTTTGAAGCCTAGGTCAGAGACAGAATTAGATCACACACATGAATACTAACCAAAAAACTGTCCCCAAGGTCCCGGAGGGCAACACATTCAAGCAACGGGCTGCACACACTTCCAAGAAGGGGCAGGAGCTTGGTGACACTGCACACAAGGCTCTCATGAGGAAAGGAACATGACCAGCTAAATTGGCAGTACCGAGGGTTAATTCTTTAAACTTACAGTATAAATCACCAGCAGCCATCTGGTCCTGAGATTTTTTTGGTGTCTAAGAACATTCCTGATTAATTCAATCTACTTACTAATTCTAGCTCTGTTCAATTTTTCCTTTTTTTTTTTCATGATCCAGTACTTATACATTTCTAGAGCGTGTACATATGCTCTACATTATTAAGTGTGCTACAGCTTTTCTGTTGTGTCAGAATACCTGAAACTGGGTAGTTTAGAAAGGTTGATTTTAGCTTACAGTGACAAAAAGCAGAAGTCAAAGAGCATGGCTCCAGGGTCTGTCAGTTTCTAGCGGGCCCTTCAAGATGGAAAGAGGCTCATGTAGAAGAGAGGAGATGGGGCAGACACATTCCCATGAGAAAGACACTCATGAACTCTGAGGTCTCTCTTTCCATGATTCAGTATTTCCCAGTAGGCCCCGCCTCTCAACAGTCATACTGAGGAATGGAAGTGCCGATACCTGAGCCCTTTTGAAGGTTTTTAAAAAGGTTTTCTGCATACGAATGAATATTTTGTCTCCATGTATTTTGTCATGTGCGTGCCTGATGCCCAAAGAGGCCAGAAAAGGGCAGCAGATCCTCTGAAACTGGAATTGCAGGTTGTTGTGAGCCTTCATGTGGGTGCTGGGAACTGAACCTGGGTCCTGGAGAGGAATCAGTGCTCTGTTAAGCACTGAGTCACTCTCCAGCCCTCAAATCATGGTTGCCAACATACAACTGCTCATAGCTTTTTCATAAAAAGGCATTTTATTTCTTTGAATCTCATGCTGGGAACAGAACCTACGGCATTGCCACTGAACTACAACCAAGCTTCTCACTTTCTATCTTGAGACAGGTCTTCCTAAGTCATTCAGGCTTCCCTTAAACACACTCTGTAGCCCAGGTTGGCACTGACCTACAATTTTCCTGCATCAGTCTCCTGAGAAGTTGAAATTATAGGCCTGTTCTACCAGACAAGAATAAAAATCCTTTCACTTCTACAGTCAGTTATAACAGTCCTTTCATTCCGTAGTTATCGGAATCTCTTTTCTTTCTGTGGGGTTTGAATTAGAATGGCCTCACATTGGCTCATACATTTGAATCTTAGTCCACAGTTGGTGGAACTGTTTGAGAAGAATTAGGAGGCGTGGCCTTGTTGGAGATGTGTCACTGGGGGGGACTCTGAGGTTTCAAAAGCCTATATCATTCCAACCGGTGCTCTCTGTCCTCTCTATCTCTGCCTCCAATTTGCAGGTTAGATGTAAGCTCTCAGCTACTGCTCCAACACCATGACTGCCATGACAATCACATGCTCTCCTGCCCTCTGTGGCCATGAACCCCCACTAAATGCTTTCTTTTATAAGCTGCCTTGGGCGTGATGTTCCGTCACAGCAATAGAAAAGAAACTAAGACACTTTCTTTGTTCATCTAGTTAAAAGACGGTCAATTTAAAAATACCTTTTCAGGGGCCTGTGATGATGGCTCAGTAATTAAAAGCACTTGTCACCAAGTCCAATGACCTTAGTTAGATTCTCAGAACCCACGCAGTGGAAGCAAAGAACGACTTCCTCAAGCTGTCCTCTGAACTCCACATCTTTTCAAAGAACCAACACTTGATTTTATCTATTTCTTAATTGCTTTATTTTCTGTCTTTTTTTTGGGGGGGGAAGGTTTGAGGCAGGGTTTCTCTGTTTATCTTTGGCTGTCCTGGAACTCGCTTTATAGACCAGGCTGGCCTCAAACTCACAGAGATCCGCCTGCTTCTGCCTCCAGAGTGCTGGGATTAAAGGTATGCGCAACCACACCCAGGGTACTTTCTCTATTACACTGGTCTCTGTTGTGGTCTTTATTACTTCTTTCCTTCCTCCAGTTACGGATTTAGGTGCTCAAACTACAGGTGTGGGACACCATACCTGGCCTCATGGTCTTGTACTTTGTTTGTTCTACATGAACTTTGGAACCAACATGTCGAACACCAGAAAGAAACCTTGCTGATCTCTTTACTGAGACTATATTAAATCTTTGTCAATTTATGAAGATCCAGTGCTCTCAGGGTGTTAAGTCATTCTATCCTGGGAAAAGACTTTGCATTTGATTAAGTCAACTTTTGTAAGATTTAGCAGTCTTTAAAGATTTCTCCATTTATGTCTTAAAATTCCTAAACATTTTAATCTTTCTGTTTTTACTATAATGAGACTATCCCCTTCCTTATATAGTCTAACTTATTTGTTAAACAATTGGTTTTGCATGTAAATTGTACACTGTCATCTTACTAAACTCTCTCTCTCCTGTGTGTGCTGTTTTGGAAAGAGTCTCACATAGTCCAGATCGGCCCCAAACTCACCATGTAGCTAGCACAACCTTGAATACAATTCTAATGCAGTCAAATTTGAGTGCTGGGATTATAGACATGCACCATCAGGTCAGGCTAAATTTTTTTAATTTAATTATTTTGATTATTATTTGTGCTCTAGATACTTCTATTACCTGCAGGTAAGGACAGTGATACCTTTCCCCCCCAAACTTTGTGCCTCTGAATAATTTCTTTACCTGACTTCATTATCTTAAGTTGCCAAAGCAATATTGAATACCTGGAATTGGTGAGCAATTGAGATCAGGAATTCAAGGTAAGCCTCAGCTATATAAAGAGTTCAAGATCAACCTGGGGTGTATGAGATCCTGTCTCAGAAAAACTGTAAGTGCCAGGTGTGATGGCTGATGCCATAGGCGGCTAAATCAGGAGCACGGCTGTGAGTTTAGGGCCAGCTTTGGCCACACGGTGAGTTCTGGGTAGTCTGGGCTATCACATAAGACCCTGTCTTTTTTTTGGGGGGGGGAGAGGGGGCCAGAGGAAAGAAGTAGCAAACAGAAAGTGTTCTGAACGTTTACAGTAAAAAGCACTCCAATCCCACACAGACAACCCCAGAGCACAGACCAGCTTCTGAACTTAGGCCTTCATGCTTGTGCAGTAAGCACTTTCCCAAAAGAACCACTGCTCTCAACCAGATGCCTCTTAGAAACATCAACTGCTAGAGTGTGACTTAGTGGTGGAGAAACACCTGCCTGGTGAGCACCAGCCCTAGGCGCAACTCCTACCATGACACAGAGCAAAAGAAAAGAGACAGAAAACTAACAACAAATATTAACAAAACACAGCTGGTCATGGTGACAGACAACTATAATCCCAGCACTCAGGAGGCAGAGGCAAGGATAGCCAGTTCATGGCCAGCCAGAGTTATATAACAAGACCTTGTCTCAAAACCCAAGAGCTGGGGCTGGAGAGATGACTCAGAGGTTAAGAGAACTGACTGATGTTCCAGAGGTCCTGAGTTCAATTCCCAGCAACCACATGATGACACACACCCATCTACATTGAGATCTGGTCCCACTACAGATCCAATGGCTTTTCCACTCCCCAAGCTTCTGCCTCTCCGCTGCTCCACCTCGGGACCCCTCAATCAGTCTTTCCTACCCATGCCCCTTAATGGGGTAGGCACAGGAGCGCTGTGTGGCTGATGGCGCCGGGAGCTGTCAAGTGGGAGGCGGGTTCATCTCAGCCAGCAAGTGACCTATGGGTAGGTTGGCAGTGGGACACGCTTCCGAGCTGGGCAGGTCTTATTCAGATTTTCTCTCTGGCATCCAAGCCCACGTGCCCTTTAGGCAAACGAGGCCGGAGCTTCGGATTCTCGCCGTCTAAAACCGGGGCAGTTTGTGTGTTGATAAGGGGTCGTTGCAGCCTTAAACTCCGGGGAACAGATGAGACCCTGTCTCGCGTGTGACAGACAAAAAGCAAGATCCTGGACCTTAAGGAATGTGTGGACAGCAAGACTCAAGCATCGGCCGCCCGCCTGGGCCTTTTCTGGGGCTTCGGGTCTCTTCTCCCGCCAGGGCTACTGGCCACAAGCGAGGCTACGAGGAATGGGGGCGGACGACTAGGGGAATGGCCGAGGCCTGGGACTCCGGGCCGGCCCGGGGAGAGCCGGGTACCTGGCAGAGTCGCCGCAGCCTCGAGTTCGCCGAACTCACCTCACTCAGGCTCACGCCGCGCCAACCTAAATCGCTATCCAAACTCCGCGCGCCGACGAGGTCCTCCGGCGCCCCGCTTCGCTCGCTTCGCGCCGCAAGAAGGAGAGTTCTGATTGGACGAGCCCTGAGGGACTAACCAATACCGTAGCCTCTGGGACTCGGTCCCGCCCCAGTAGCTCCAATCAGAAGCCAGCTGGTGGGTCAGGTGATCGTGGTAAACGTACCGAGCTTCCGGCGCTAGTAAGGCTTTGTTTGTTTTTGTGGTTTTTTTTTTTTTTTTTTTTTTTTTTTTTTTTTTTTTTTTTTTTTTTTTTTTTTTTTTTTTTTTTTTCGTG